TGGGCGGGTGACGCCTGGCAGGTGGCGGCGCTGTGGGCGGCCGGGCAGGGGAAGCGCTTCAGCTGGCCCTCTGCTGGGGGGGGGGGCAGCCAGGGCGCCGGGCTCCGGCCGCGCCCACCGCCCCAGGGACACGGGGCTCCTCAGGGCCCAGTGGTCACGCTCAGCCCGGCGCCCCGCCCCGCAGCCCGCCCCTCACCTCTGCCGGCGCCGCCAGCGCGGCCCACAGCGGCAGGAGCACCCTCTCAGGGCGGGCGGCGGGGCTGGGGGGACCGAGGAGGCGCCTTCCTTACCCAGGACCCCGGCGCGTGCACCCCTCCGCCCCCCTCGTCCCGCTCCCTCGGTTGGCATTTCACCTGCTCTCCTGGCCCCGCACCCCAGGGCCCTCACCCGGACCCCGTCCCCTCCACCTGCCCTGGGCCTGGGCTGGGCGACGGGGGGCAGTCAGCCCTGCCCCCGCTTCATAAAGTCGGCAGCCTGGGCGGGCAGGGGCGGGTGGGGGTGGGGGGGAGCTGCTTCCGGCCCGAGGGGGGGCAGGGCCCTGGGCTCCCCACCTGGGGGGCCACCGTGGGGCAGCCTCAGCTCGGCCCCCAGCGCCCCTTGGCCTGTGGCTGACCCATGGAGCAGCGCTGGTCCAGCCGTGGGGCACAGGGGCCGGGTTTGGGGCACTGTGGGCTGAGGACAGACCCGGAGCCTGACTCCTGGGGGGAAGGGGGGCCGGGGCCAGGAGGAGGAGGGGAGAGGGGGAGGAGGAGGAGGAGGAGGAGGGGAGAGGAGGAGGAGGGGGGTGGAGGGGGAGGAGGAGGGGGAGGAGGGGGAGGGGGAGGGAGGGGAGGGGGAGGGGGAGGAGGAGGTGGAGGAGGAGGAGGAGTTGGGGGAGAGGAGGAGGAGGGAGGAGAGGAGAGGAGGAGGTGGGGGTGAGGGGGAGGGAGGAGGGGGAGGAGGGGGAGGGGGAGGAGTGCTCTCTCGATGAACCCGTGTTCCGTGAAGCAGGGCCTGGCAGTGCCCGGGGCTCCGGCCGAGGTGACTGAACACAGGCCCCAGGCTCGGCCTCCAACCGGACCGGAGCGGCACCTTCTGGTCCGATTTGGTCAGCCTGTTCCGATGGTATCGCGCCTCGGAGGCCTGCCTCTCACACCTCAGGGTCAGCGTCCCACGGAGGAGGGAGGCGGCGAGCACTTCCCACGTGGAATATGGAAGAGCAGGGCATGGCCGATGAACAGTCTTTGCAAAGACTCCATGTGCATTTTTTAAAAAAATATATATTTTATTGACTCTTTACAGAGAGGAAGAGAGAGGGATAGAGAGTTAGAAACCATCGATGAGAGAGAACCATCGACCAGCTGCCTCCTGCACACCCCCCACCGGGGATGTGCCCACAACCAACATACATGCCCCTGACCGGAATCGAACCCGGGACCCTTCAGTCCGCAGGCCGATGCTCTACCGCTGAGCCACACCGGCTTCGGCCTCTCATGTGCATTTTAAAAAATTCTGGAACAGGCCGAAAGCGGTGTGGCTCCGTGGATAGAGCGTCGGCTGCGGACGAAGGGTCCCGGGTTCGGTTCCCGTCAAGGGCAAGGACCTTGGTTGCGGGCACGTCCCCGGTGGCGGGGTGTGCGGGAGGCAGCTGGTCGATGTTTCTAGCTGTCTATCCCTCTCCCTTCCTCTCTGTAAAAAATCAATAAAATATATTTTAAAAAATTCCTAGGACAGGTAAGAGCATCCTCCCCACACATTTGGGATGGATGGAGGGGCGTCGTGTGGACACAATGTGCTTCCTTCTGAACACAGAGACGGGCGAGAGCCTGCTCAGAGGCTCGTCCCCGGAACTCCGTTTTGAAACCCTCTCCGGTCTAAAAAGGCTGCCGACGAGGGTGAGCGTGGCCCCTAGGTGAGCCTTCACCAGGTTTCCCAAGCCCTGACCCCGCCGGGACTGTGGGACGAGATCAGTCACCGGAGGAGCGGGATGCAGCTCTGGTGCGCACAGAGAGGGAGCCGTTTCACCGGGCTGCGCCCCCGCCTCTCCGCGCCCCGTCCGCCCGCCGCCCACGGCCACGTGGAATCCCGGGCTCGTGGCCTCCTGCAGCCTGGAGCAGGCGGCCCGTCCCGATTCCTTCCGTGCCCGATGCTTTGGAAGAGGAATGGCCAGCTATCTGGTAGGGAGTCTCATCACGTGGGCTTGCTGTTCACGCCTGAGTCCCTTCAGCTGAAGCATTTTTTGGGGAAAATAAATGTCACCTCAGTGGCTGAGTGTCGACCCAGAAACCTAAGGTCACCGGTTCGGTTCCCGGCCAGAGCGCACGCCCAGGCTGGGGCTGGATTCCCCGCGGTGGGTGTGTGGGCGGGCGGCCCAGCCCACGGTGCTTCTCTCCCGTGGATGTTCCTCTCTCTCTCTCTCTCTCTCTCTCTCTCTCTCTCTCTCTCTCTCGCCCTCCGCTCTCCTTTCCTCTCGCTCCGAAAACCAATAAAAACAAATAATTTTTTAAAATCTCCTGACGGGCCGTGGTGTTCTCAGCAGGTCACAGCGGACGAGGGATGCCGCCTGAGCCCTCGCTGGCGGCGGTGCCGTCGGACCCGGGCTGAGGCAGCACCTGCCTGTTTCTCCTCCGGAAAGGTACCAGGTGCCTGGAATCGAACCCGGGCCTCGCGAGAGGCACGGTGGGGTTCTGTGAATGTCCTGTTCCCCGGAGCCCCGCTTCCCCTGCGATGATCTGTGACTGTGGGATTTGCCAAACGGTGGTGACGCATTTCCACCCCACGTTCCCACTTCGCAGAGCGGGCTTCCCGCTGCTCTTCACTGTTTCTCCTCCGCCCCCGGGGTCGGCGGAGGGTGGCGTTTATGGTATTTAACAGCCGGAGCGGGCCAGGGCGGGCCTATTGCTCCCTTCGGAGAATACACATTCACACTCCCACCGCTCCTCCCACGCCTAACTCCTCCCCTGGCCCCTCCACACCGCTCACTCCTCCCCCAAGGGGAGCCTGGACGTGACATCGCTGTATGGAAGCAGCCTGATTAGGACGTGTCTGAGCGAGTATTTGTTTGGATTTTCCCTGCCCGGGGTTCATTTGGCGGCGGCTTCTTCTTCTTCTTCTTCTTCTTCTTCTTAATGTTTTTATTGATTTCAGAGAAGAAAGGAGAGAGGTAGAAACATCAATGATAGAGTGACTCGCTAATCAGCTGCCTCCTGCACGCTCCCCCCTGCCCCCCGGGATGGAGCCGGCAACCCTGGCCTGTGCCCTGACCGGAGCTGAACCGTGACCTCCTGGTTCATAGGTCGACGCTCAACCCGGACCCCGCCCTGGCAGCCCCCGCCCTCTCTCATCTCAAGCTTCAGCTCCTTCTGAGCCCGCGGGTCCCAGGCGGCCGAGCCAGGCCTGGATTGGGGCTGAGCTGTGGTCTGCCAGCCCACGCCCCGGGGTGGTGGTGGAGGGCGCCGAAGGCAGAACCACGGAGACAGCGGTCAGACAATTACCGGCGGTGAGCTCCCGAGGAGAGTCCCCGCCCGCCCTGCGCCCTCTGCCTGCCGGGCACCAGGTCAGCTCCGGCCAGGCCTCTGTGTGCCCACTGCCCTGTGCGGGGCCGCAGCCCACAGCCCAGCTGGGCGGTTTCATCCAGATGTGACAAGACCCAGGCTGGGAGGACAGGTGGCCACAAGGTCTGCCGAGAGCCGGCCAGAGGTGGGCCCCATCATGGCGGGGAAATGGCTCCGGGTTGGCATCGCCGTGTGCGCCGGGAGGTCACGGTGGGGTTCCCGGTCGGGCACTGACCTGGTTGCAGGCTCGATCCGATCCCCAGTGCAGGAGGCAGCCGATCGATGTTTCTCTCTCATTATTGGTGTTTCTACCTCTCTCTCCCTCTCCCTTCCTCTCCGTAAAACAGTGTTTCCCAAACTTCTGACATATGGGCACCCCTTCTATAATTTTCGTAACGCTGAGTACCCCTCGTACTCACGAGAACGTAGAATTAGGAGCCGCTAAGCACGGGGCAGTGCGTATCCCCACCAAACTCTTCCCGTGCCCCTGGGGTTGCGCAAACCACATTTGGGAGACACTGCTGTAAAACATCAATAAAATATATTTAAGAAAAGTAAATAACTGATTTCAGAGAGGAAGGGAGAGGGAGAGGGACAGAGAGTTAGAAACATCGATGGGAGAGAAACATCCATCAGCTGCCTCCTGCACACCCTCTTACTGGGATGTGCCCGCAACCAAGGTGCATGCCCTTGAACCCGGGACCCTTCAGCCCACAGGCTAACGGGTTAGGGCTCAATTATGTTTTTAACAAAAGAAAGGCGGAAGGAGCTGGAGAGGAGAGGCTGAAGAATAGGTTTATTGTCTTTGGAAGGAGTGAAGGTCGTGGCCCCTTGGACAGAGGGGTGGGGGCGGGCTGGCCGAGGAGCCGGAGTCAGGGCTGCGCCGGGCTCGCCCTGCCCCTCCGGCCTGGACAGCCCGTTCCGGGCCGGGACCCGTGTCCGGGAGCCGCTGCCCCACACCCCGTGCTCATCCCCCCGGAAGCAGGGTCCCTCCTCCCGCTCTGGGGGAGAGGGCCTGCGGACGGGAGGAGTGGGTGGGCCGGCCAGGCCCGGGGCCACAGGGACGGGCTCACGGGGAAGGAAGGGCCATGGGGAAGGAAGGGCCACGGGGATGGGCTCACGGGGAAGGGCCACGGGGAAGGGCCCACGGGGACAGGCTCACGGGGAAGGGCCACGGGGACGGGCTCACGGGAAAGGGCCACGGGGATGAGCTCACAGGGAAGGGCCACGGGGAAGGAAGGGCTCACGGGGAAGGGCCACGGGGAAGGGCCACGGGGAAGGGCCACGGGGAAGGGCCACGGGGACGGGCCACGGGGACGGGCTCATGGGGATGAGCTCACGGGAAGGGCCACGGGGAAGGCTCACGGGGAAGGGCACGGGGAAGGGCCACGGGGAAGGGCCACGGGGAAGGGCCACGGGGACCGGCTCACGGGGGAAGGGCCACGGGGAAGGGCCACGGGGACCGGCTCACGGGGAGGCGGCGAGGAGGCCGAGGCCCAGCAGGAGCAGCAGCGCTGGGCCCCGGGGCCGCGGGCGGGCGCCGCGTTGCAGAAGCTCACGTTGCAGCACTGCCTGTGCACCCGCTGCCACAGCCAGGGCTCCGACAGCCACTCGAAGGCCATGTTGGCGTTGGGGCACCGCGGGGCGCAGCGCTTGCTCAGCATGAGCCACACCTTGGACTCTGCGGAGAGAGCACAGCGCGGCTGCCCCGGAGGCCCGGCCGCCCGCAGGGGGCGCAGTCCGGGGCCGGGCTCCCCTGGCCAGGCCTGCAGGGCGGGGGGCGGGGACATGGCTGCCGGCCTGAACCCCTGGCTTCCAGGGAGGCGGGCGGAGGCGAGGAGGGAGGCCGAGGCCCAGCTGGGAGCTCAGCCGCTCAGCCTCCCGCTGCCCCTGAGGACGGCAGAGCGGCCGGTGGCTCGGGGAGCATCCGCCCGTGACCCAGGAGGTCAGGTTCAGTCCCCCTCAGGCTCCGTGCCTGCGCCGGGCCTGCAGGAGGCAGCGGATCCAGGAGGCTCTCTCATCGTTGACGTTTCTCTCTCTCCCTCTTCCTTCTCTAAAATCAATACAATAATTTAAAAAAATAAAATAAAACACAAAGATAACCGTGCCCAGCCTGGGCGCCGGGACACGGAGCCAGAGCGGAGGCAGGTCTGCGCGGCTGGCAGGGGCCCAGGAGCAGCGCAGCCGCCGCTGACCAGGCTCCGGCCTCGGAGGACAGACGCCCCCAGCACCCTGCCCACCCCACGCCCCAAAGTCAGGCACCCCCCACCCCCCACCGGGCCCGGACTCACTGAGCCGGAGCGTGAGCGTGTGGGCCAGGCACACGCGGTCCGTGCGGGCGCACAGGGCGGGCCGGCACTGCGCCGCGGACTTCGCTTTGAAGCAGCGGAAGCAGCTGAGGTTCCCGCCTGGGGGGGCAGCGGGCTGAGCGGACAGCGCCCAGCGGAGCGCCCCGGGCCCCCCCACCCCTCCCTGCCCCCCACCTGTCTGCCCCCCACCTGTCTGCCCCCCCACCTGTCTGACCCCCTCACCTGTCTGACCCCCCACCTGTCTGACCCCCTCACCTGTCTGCCCCCCCACCTGTCTGCCCCCTCACCTGTCTGCCCCCCTCACCTGTCTGCCCCCCTCACCTGTCTGCCCCCCCACCCCTCCCTGCCCCCCACCTGTCTGCCCCCCCTCACCTGTCTGCCCCCCTCACCTGTCTGCCCCCCACCTGTCTGCCCCCTCACCTGTCTGCCCCCCTCACCTGTCTGCCCCCCACCTGTCTGCCCCCCCACCTGTCTGCCCCCCTCACCTGTCTGCCCCCCTCACCTGTCTGCCCCCCTCACCTGTCTGCCCCCCACCTGTCTGCCCCCCCACCTGTCTGCCCCCCTCACCTGTCTGCCCCCCACCTGTCTGCCCCCTCACCTGTCTGCCCCCCTCACCTGTCTGCCCCCCACCTGTCTGCCCCCCCACCTGTCTGCCCCCCTCACCTGTCTGCCCCCCTCACCTGTCTGCCCCCCACCTGTCTGCCCCCCCACCTGTCTGCCCCCCTCACCTGTCTGCCCCCCACCTGTCTGCCCCCCTCACCTGTCTGCCCCCCACCTGTCTGCCCCCCCCACCTGTCTGCCCCCCACCTGTCTGCCCCCCTCACCTGTCTGCCCCCCACCTGTCTGCCCCCCTCACCTGTCTGCCCCCCCACCTGTCTGCCCCCTCACCTGTCTGCCCCCCTCACCTGTCTGCCCCCCTCACCTGTCTGCCCCCCCACCCCTCCCTGCCCCCCACCTGTCTGCCCCCCCTCACCTGTCTGCCCCCCTCACCTGTCTGCCCCCCACCTGTCTGCCCCCTCACCTGTCTGCCCCCCTCACCTGTCTGCCCCCCACCTGTCTGCCCCCCCACCTGTCTGCCCCCCACCTGTCTGCCCCCCCACCTGTCTGCCCCCCTCACCTGTCTGCCCCCCTCACCTGTCTGCCCCCCTCACCTGTCTGCCCCCCACCTGTCTGCCCCCCCACCTGTCTGCCCCCCTCACCTGTCTGCCCCCCACCTGTCTGCCCCCCACCTGTCTGCCCCCCACCTGTCTGCCCCCTCACCTGTCTGCCCCCCACCTGTCTGCCCCCCCTCACCTGTCTGCCCCCCTCACCTGTCTGCCCCCCCTCACCTGTCTGCCCCCCACCTGTCTGTCCCCCCACCTGTCTGCCCCCCACCTGTCTGCCCCCCCACCTGTCTGCCCCCCTCACCTGTCTGCCCCCCACCTGTCTGCCCCCCTCACCTGTCTGCCCCCTCACCTGTCTGCCCCCCACCTGTCTGCCCCCCACCTGTCTCTCCCCCCACCTGTCTGCCCTCCTCACCTGTCTGCCCCCCACCTGTCTGCCCCCCCCACCTGTCTGCCCCCTCACCTGTCTGCCCCCCACCTGTCTGCTCCCCCACCTGTCTGCCCCCCCACCTGTCTGCCCCCCTCACCTGTCTGCCCCCTCACCTGTCTGCCCCCCACCTGTCTGCCCCCCCCACCTGTCTGCCCCCTCACCTGTCTGCCCCCCACCTGTCTGCCCCCCCACCTGTCTGCCCCCCTCACCTGTCTGCCCCCCACCTGTCTGCCCCCCACCTGTCTCTCCCCCCACCTGTCTGCCCTCCTCACCTGTCTGCCCCCCACCTGTCTGCCCCCCTCACCTGTCTGCCCCCCTCACCTGTCTGCCCCCCCTCACCTGTCTGCCCCCCACCTGTCTGTCCCCCCACCTGTCTGCCCCCCACCTGTCTGCCCCCCCACCTGTCTGCCCCCCTCACCTGTCTGCCCCCCACCTGTCTGCCCCCCTCACCTGTCTGCCCCCTCACCTGTCTGCCCCCCACCTGTCTGCCCCCCACCTGTCTCTCCCCCCACCTGTCTGCCCTCCTCACCTGTCTGCCCCCCACCTGTCTGCCCCCCCCACCTGTCTGCCCCCTCACCTGTCTGCCCCCCACCTGTCTGCTCCCCCACCTGTCTGCCCCCCCACCTGTCTGCCCCCCTCACCTGTCTGCCCCCTCACCTGTCTGCCCCCCACCTGTCTGCCCCCCCCACCTGTCTGCCCCCTCACCTGTCTGCCCCCCACCTGTCTGCCCCCCACCTGTCTGCCCCCCACCTGTCTGCCCCCCCCACCTGTCTGCCCCCCACCTGTCTGCCCCCTCACCTGTCTGCCCCCCACCTGTCTGCCCCCTCACCTGTCTGTCCCCCCACCTGTCTGTCCCCCCACCTGTCTGTCCCCTCACCTGTCTGTCCCCTCACCTGTCTGCCCCCCACCTGTCTGCCCCCTCACCTGTCTGTCCCCCCACCTGTCTGTCCCCCCACCTGTCTGTCCCCCCACCTGTCTGTCCCCTCACCTGTCTGCCCCCCACCTGTCTGCCCCCTCACCTGTCTGTCCCCTCACCTGTCTGTCCCCTCACCTGTCTGCCCCCCACCTGTCTGCCCCCTCACCTGTCTGTCCCCCCACCTGTCTGTCCCCCCACCTGTCTGTCCCCTCACCTGTCTGCCCCCTCACCTGTCTGCCCCCCTCACCTGTCTGCCCCCCACCTGTCTGCCCCCCCACCTGTCTGCCCCCCTCACCTGTCTGCCCCCCACCTGTCTGCCCCCCCACCCCTCCCTGCCCCCCACCTGTCTGCCCCCCCTCACCTGTCTGCCCCCCACCTGTCTGCCCCTCACCTGTCTGCCCCCCACCTGTCTGCCCCCCACCTGTCTGCCCCCCACCTGTCTGCCCCTCACCTGTCTGCCCCTCACCTGTCTGCCCCCCCACCTGTCTGCCCCCCACCTGTCTGCCCCCTGCGGCTGGAGAGGCCCAGCGGGGCAGCCCCCCGGCCCTGCAGGACCAGCGCCGCCAGCAGCGCCCACAGCGCCAGCACCTCCATGCCGGGGCAGGTGGCCTGCGGGCACAGAGGAGGAGGCGTCACCCAGAGCCCCGGCCCCCCTCCGGGCCCCTGGGTGCCCCCCAGCCCGCTCCCCTGCCAGCCCGGCGCCCCAGCTCCCATGGGCCCCTCCCAGGACCGCACTCCACCTGAGCACCTGCCGCGTGTGCCGGCCGCTCAGCCCCGTCAGCGCTGCCTCTCCTGGGACAGACGGGGAGGGGGTCAGGCCGGCCCCACCGGGGACAGGGACGGACCGGAGCCGCCTCAGGGGAGGCGGGAGGGGTCTGCGGGGAGTGACGGGAAGATGGGGCCTCCAGGAGGAGGAGGGAGGGAAAGGGGAGCCCCGGAGCAGCTGGAGCTGGACAAACAGGGGACAGCCAGGCAGCCCCGGGCAGGAGGCGGGAGCCTGAGCGAGCAGGAACCCAGGAGAGGGCCACACTCAGGGCAGGAGGAGGGAGAGGAGGAGGAGGGAGAGGAGAGAGGAAGAAGGAGAGGAGGGGGGAGGGAGGAGGGAGGAGGAGGAAGAGGAGGGAGGAGGGAGGAGGGAGGAGGGAGAGGAGGGAGAGGCGTGAAGCTTTTGCTCCTCTGTGTGCCGGGCCATTTCCCTCGGAGGGGGCGGGCGGGGGAGGCCCCAGCAGGAGCAGAGCGCTGACCCTGAGCCTGTCCAGCTCCGGAGGCCCCTGCGGCTCCCAGCCCCGGGCACTCAGCGGAGCCTGGGCCTCCGGGCGGTCCTGGCCCTGCAGAGGGTGTGAGCCCCCCCCCCCCCACCTGCTCCTGTGCTTCCAGTCACCACGGGAGCGCCCCCGCCCCCCCGTTTTATAGCTTTTCTGTAAAAAATTTGGCTTTTGCTCAAAAAAATTTTTTTGTTTTGATCCCTGAGAGGAAGGGAGATGGAGAGAGAGATTGTGGGCATCACTGATTTCAAGGAAATCTCGTCCTATTGGGTGAAAACGGGGGCAGATTTGATGAACAAAAATATATGTTATCGCCCTGGCCGGCTGGGTCAGTTGGTTGGAGTGTCCTGCACACCAAAAGGGTCTTAGGTTCGATTCCTGGTCAGGGTGAGTGCGGAGGCAGCTGATCAATGTTCCTCTCATTCTGTCTGAGAATTAATATAGATATACAGTCTAATAACATTGCTAGTTGGAAAGAAACAGGCTCTGATTTATTTATTTTTAATTGATTTATTTCAGAGAGAAAGAGAGAGAGAAACATCAATGATGAGAGAAAACCATTGATGGGCTGCCTTCTGACGCCCCCTACTGGGGATTGAGGAGCCCACAACCCAGGCCTGTGCCCTGACTGGAAATCGGAAGCATGACCGCCTGGGTCACAGGCTGATGCTCAGCCTGAGCCCGCCAGCTGGGCAGTGCTGGGCGTTCTTTAAGAGATTCCAGAAGAGCAGCTTGGAGAAAGCCTGTGATCGACCATGATGCCGGCTATGGTTATGCAAATGAGCAGGCCAAATGGAAACAGACGCACTGCGGTAAACAAATTGCTCTAAATTTGGCTTTTTTTTTTTTTTTTTTGAAAAGGAGGGCGATTTTCAGGGGGAAACTGTGTACCAACAGAATCTAGAATACACAGTTGTGCCAAAACCGGTGTGGCTCAGTGGATAGAGCGTCGGCCTGCGGACTGAAAGGTCCCGGGTTCGATTCTGGTCAGGGGCATGTACCTTGGTTGCGGGCACATCCCCGATGGGGGGTGTGCAGGAGGCAGCTGGTCGATGTTTCTCTCTCATCGACGTTTCTGGCTCTCTATCTCTCTCCCTTCCTCTCTGTAAAAAAATTAATAAAAATATATTTTTTAAAAAATAGTAGAGATTTGTAACATAGTCTGTCTCCGCTCGCACTCAGGGACTCCTGACCTTTGCCCGCGCGGGAACCCTCACCCTCTGCTGTGGGCCGGGCCTCTGCGGAGAGCCAAGACTCCGGAGCCAGCAGGGAAGTGAGACGCCGCCCTTTTCCCTCACAGAATGCAGAGCAGGAATTTGTCAGGCGGGGGTGCTAGGCCGGTGGAGAGACCTGAGCAGAGCGAGCGTGAGCAGGATGGGCAGGTGGGAGGCCACCAGGGCTGAAACCCCCGGGTGCCCAGTGTTAAGGTAGAAACGGTCAAACCTGTAAAGAACTTCTGGGCGTTTTTTTTGAGCCAAACTGCCGGGACGCAACTCTCAACGGATTGGAGTGAAGCCGCGGAGAAGGGTGGTCTCCCGCCTTGTTTTATACAAGACAATCGCGAGATGTAAGTGGGTGACCTGAAATCCACTGGCGGCAGATTGGGGGGTGGGAGGAAGCACAGTGGGGGAGGGGAGCCCCTGGGACCCGATGAAACCACATGGGAGGCACATGCCCAGGTGGCGCAGAAACAGCTAACCGATAATGAAGGGATCTGAGGTCTTTGTCCTGGCGCCCCGCACATTAGGTTGTGCCCCAGGGGTTCCGGACGCTTCGGGAGGATGCTCTCACAGGTGCAGAAAGACACACAGGCCCGGGGAAGGTAAAGGTTCCCCTCGTCAGTGAAGAGACGGCCTAGGACATGGCCACCCACCCACCATCACTGCGTTCAGTCACAGTTTAATTTCAGATCGTCCTCCGTGGTGACTGTAGGTCTGAGTTTGCAAGACGGACATGCAGGCCGCCCTGAGCCGTCAGCTCAGCGCGTGGCCCTTTGGTCCACAGCCAGCACTCAGGCACCGAGGCGGCCGGCCCGAGGGCCAATCGCTGGTCACCTTCCCTGCAGGCTGGCTGCCACCAGACCCGCCCCCAGCTGGCCAGCCGGCTCATCCGCAGGCCCCACCGTCCTGTGGTGACCGGCAGGGCAGTCAGGACTCCAGGCTGGGCTCCGGCCAGAGCTGCGCTGTCATTTCTGGGTCTCTAGCCCTGCCGTCCTCCCCACTGACCAGATGGCCTCCATACCACGTGGGCCCAATGCTGCCCAGGCAGGCTCTCCATCCTCCTGCGAACAAAAACTCCACTGCCAGGGCTGAAAGCCTTTTTATTTTATTTTATTTTTACTTACTTATTTTATTTTTTTAAAATATATTTTATTGATTTGTCACAGAGAGGAAGAGAGAGGGATAAAGAGCTAGAAACATCGATGAGAGAAAATCATCAATCAGCTGCCTCTTGCACACCCCCTACTGAGGATGTGCCCGCAACCAAGAATCAAACCTGGGACCTTTAAGTCTGCAGGCAGACGCTCTATCCACTGAGCCACACCGGTCTCGGCCGGTTAGGGCTACTTTAAAAGCTTTAGCCTTGAAAGTATTACCTATGTCCCCTCTTTGCCATTAACCCCCTCCCGCCCACGTGCCCCAGGCCATTGCCTCCTGGAGTTGACCGGCTCTCTTATTCCTGTGCGCCCCCGACTGGGGACCGAGCCCCGAACCCGCATCTGCCCCGACGGGGGGTTGAACCCCAAGCTCCTAGGCTGACGCTCAACCACTGAGCCACATGGCCGGCCCCGGGAGAGGAAGGCACGAGGCCTGAGTGATGAGGGTTGTGAGTGTATTCGGTCACCTGGACCCAGCAGGCTGAGCCCCATGTGGTGCGGCTACAGGAAGGGCAGGAGGTGTGTGGGCCCTCGGGGCGGCCTTTCCTGGACGAGAGCCGGCCAGGGCCGGTTCGGGAGAGCCGGAGGGAGGGCGATGCTCTCAGCAGATGGAATGTCCGGTGAGCAGTGGCCGGGTCAGGGCCCGGGGCGGAGGCTTGGCTCGGGGAAGTTCGCATGCACAGGAGGCAGAGGCCGGGCCGGCGCCCGCACACGAAGCTCCCGCACGCCTGGCCACGTGCGGCCTGAGCTGGGGGCCGGGCAGACCCAGAGGCCCGAGGGCAGCCACGCGGGATGGTCTGAGTGAAACGCCTTAAAAGTAAAAGCAGTTCCCAGTGGCAGTCCTGTCCCCCCTGTCCGAGGCCAGGTCTTCCCGGCCGAGCTCAGCTCACCTACTGAGGCTGCGTCTCTTTTTGTTTGTTTGTTTTTAACATATTTTATTGATTTCTTCACAGAGAGGAAGGGAGAGGGATAGTCAGAAACATCGATGAGAGAGAGACATCAACCAGCTGCCTCCTGCACGCCCCCCACCAGGGATGTGCCCGCAACCAAGGTACATGCCCTTGGCCAGAATCGAACCCGGGACCTTTCAGTCCTCAGGCCGATGCTCTATCCACTGAGCCACACCGGTTTTGGCACAAACTATATATATATATATTTTTTTTTCTTCTTTTTTTCAGAGATGAAGGAAGAAACATCCATGATGAGAGTCACTGACCGGCTGCCTCTGTCTATGGAGCCACCCTGGGGTGAAGCCCCAGCCCCGCCTGTGCCTGACCGGAGACAAACTGTGACCCCGGTTCAGCCCCTGAGCCCCCCGGGCGGGCTGCACCCTGGGTCTCCTGCTGTCTCCCCGGGGACAGGTGTACGCTGGTGCGTGCGTGGTGGTGCGCGGTGGTGCGCGGTGGTGCGCGGTGGTGCGCGGTGGTGCGCGGCGGTGCGCGGCGGTGCGTGGCGGTGCGCGGTGGTGCGTGGTGGGTGCGTGGTGGTGCGTGGTGGGTGCGCGGCGGTGCGTGGTGGGTGCGTGGTGGTGCGCGGTGGTGCGCGGCGGTGCGTGGCGGTGCGTGGTGGTGCGCGGTGGTGCGTGGTGGGTGCATGGTGGTGCGCGGTGGGTGCGCGGCGGTGCGCGGCGGTGCGCTGTGGTGGTCGTGGTGGGTGCGCGGTGGTGCGCGGCGGTGCGTGGTGGTGCGCGGTGGGTGCATGGTGGTGCGTGGTGGGTGCGTGGTGGGTGCGTGGTGGTGCGCGGTGGTGCGCGGCGGTGCGTGGCGGTGCGTGGTGGTGCGCGGTGGTGCGTGGTGGTCGTGGTGGTGTGTGATGGGTGCGCGGTGGTGCGTGGTGGGTGCCTGGGCCTCCGGAGTGCCCTCCCAGCTCTGTGCCTCCACCAGGGGCTCAGGGGCGGGGACGCCTGGCCCGGGGCCCCGTCCTCCGCCCTGAGCCCTGAGCGGGAAAGGGAA